AACGCTTCAGATTCACTAAGGGAGCACAGCACATCATCAACCAGTTTAATCCAGTTACCAACTTGTTTTGTGGCTGGGACAAACTTACAGACACTTGAGCTCTAGCGAAGGTTAACTAACTAACCGGATGTGAAAGGAGATGAAATTATAACCAAAATTACACACTCTGAGTCCCGTCCCCCAAAACTCAGTTATTCTCGCTATATATACGTTTGCCTGTATTTCTTCCGACAATGAATTCAATATAGCTATAACCTTTACCTTTCAGACGACATGGGTCCTCAGGTTTTGTTTTGTCCAGCAAGTTTCACCATCAGAGCCACAGCTCAAACAGCCATCGTAACCTGGGATGCACCGATCTTTAAGGACAACAGTCTGGGCATTATTGAACCACAGTGCAGCAGACAGAGTGGAGATTCCTTCTACTGGGGGGACTGGAACATATACTGTCGAGCGCATGACAATAACCCAAACAATGAGCCAGCAGTGTGTAATTTTGTTGTAACTGTCAAACGTAAGTGGCGTCACTTCTTAACGTATTGGATGCTTGAGAGCTAAGGATCGTTTTCATGAGACATCATCAAATTCCAAAATCCAGAATTAAAGGGCTATTAAGTTTTTATCCTTATCAGGTATAAGGGGATCTAAATTTATATCTGTTTACAACTTGCCAGGTCAATAACATGCTTGGTTTGGAAATCAACGCAATTTGAATTTCAGAGTTATGGTGGTGCGCGACATTAAGCTCCGATTGCGTTTATCGAAAAATGTACGCTTGTCCAGTGATTTTTAGGCTTTTGAGAAGTTAAAGTATCAGGAAAAGTGCCTGTGTAAATGTTTGTTGCTTCAGTTCAGATAATCAGTGGACAAGATAGTCAAAGTAAGTTCCAGATGTTTACACTATTTTCCGCCCGCCATATTGGTGGACCACGGAGATCCACCAACATGGCCTCTCTATACTGAGCTCTGTAAATTTGTGCAAGACATTTCGACGAATATCTGAACTTTGGGAAAACGCAGAGACTTAAAACTTGGAGAAGTGCCTTCTTTGCTTATCTCCCATAACATAACAATTTCTTCACTTTATCCACTGCAGAGTTTTCGATTTATGTTTTCTTTGCGTAACAGTGAAAACGATCTACATACAACTTTAATTTCGTACCATTGCATCTAAACAAGAAAACGGACATATTTTAAAACTTCTTATTTGAAAAGGAATTTTAAAACTAGGGATACAGGATCTATATTGGAATTCGGTCGCTTTTTCGTCGTCCAAGAGAGTGAAATTTAACTGCTTTAATGACAAATAACAATGAAAAGGATTTGTGTATTGAAAGTATCCTTCAAGTTTTAAGACCCTTTCATAAAAAAAAATGATACAGCGAAGGTTCACTTACATTTCAAATATTAATATCCCTTACTTGGTTACATGTAACTATTCACCCTCACAGATGCCACTGATTACGTCGTTTTATCTTTCCTTTACGGCTTGCAGCTCGACCTTGCAGAGCGAGACGCCCACCAAAGCACGGCGCTATGGCTTGCGATGATTGGATGTTTGGAAGATTTTGTTCCCCATTCTGCAATGACCTGTATGACTTTGCACAGGCTTTGCCCCTTTTTTCAGTGTGGGCATGCGGGGCGAGTGGAGTGTGGTTACCACCTGGCAATTGGCCGGACTGCGCAGGTATTAATTATGAATTACTCGTTATTCTGTGCCCAACAATGTTTTGAAATACCGTCCCAAATTTTGGCACCGTGGTCCAATGCTTCTGGCCTAAAATTAACTCGACGTTTTAAAGGCATGGCCATCCAGTCCAAGATTTCTAATTTTCAATCCATGAATTACACCCACCTTTTCAATTTCCGAGCCATTTGCTACGGAATAAGTGACTTTATAGCGGAGCTCCGGCGGCTCGAAGGGCCACCAAGCGGAGCCCCATACCCATATAGGAAAGAAAAGGAAACCCATGAATTGACTTTCTCATGGTTATCATGGCTGGCGGTATTGCTCGTGGGCGTGTACGCACGACGACGACGGAGTCGCGCAAGATGGCGGCCATACTCCAGCTAATAGGCTGCGCTGACAGAGACATGCGTCCTCGGTTTGTAGCATCCCTCTTTGATATTGGACATCCATGTTATGGTCAATTGGCACATGTCAAAACGAGATATCCGCTGACCAGTATCACGTGACCATATCGCGGGCTCAAGTGTAGAGCTTATCGAAGTCACGTGTTTTTGAAGTTGACCCTCGACCAAGTGCTGGTTTTCGATTGGATCGCGGGCTCATGTCAGGTAAACTTGTTGGCCGTTTTGTTTGGAAACCGGTTAACGCTAACCCAGGATTATAAAAGTTAACCGAAGTATAATTTTTCTTGCATACAAATGTTTTTCACT